CGGCTTGTTTTACAACGTCGTTGCCAAGCGACGAAAACCCAACCCCGATGGCAAACACCCGGGGGCGGCTTGTTTTACAACGTCGTTGCCAGGCGACGGAAACCCAACCCCGATGGGGGGGGGGCGGCTTGTTTTACAACGTGGTTGCCAAGCGACGAAAACCCAACCCCTATGGTAAACACCGGGGGGGACCGGAGGGGGGGGGCTTGTTTTACAACGTTGTTGCCAAGCGACAAAAACCCAACCCCGACGGCAAACACCGGGGAGTAGGGGGGGTGGTCGTGGGGGAGGGGTCAATGATTCGGCCAAAGCTACACATTGAACAGGGTCTATCGCCTCTTTTTTTTTTTTCGAGTGCGGAAGGGGCGAACGATGTTTTCGGAACCGTATGTGGGGTCTATGCATGTGTATTTGTATGGCTACGTGTCTGCTTGAGGTTGGACCTTTGCGATGCCGGGCGGGTATGCCCCTACAATAATGGCGGCTGTTTCATGCAACTAAATGTGGGATTTTGGCGTTCACACGGAATGCGAGCAATTCTTGCATGTTTAAGCACTTGCAGCGCTGCATGCAGCACATTGGAATGTAGATGCGTTGTTGCGCGAGTTCGGTACACTAGTATATGTACGGCCTGGCAGTCCATGGCGTCTTTGTCCATATTGTGACAGTATCTTTGCAGTTTCTATTGAGATTCAAGAGTGGAGTATCGCGTATGCACGTAGATTTAAATCAAGTGACAGGCGAGAAAGCGAGTCTCCATCGTCGTGTCACGGTACATACACTGCTGTGGGGCATCGGCCGAAAGGACATCCCTGAAAATTCCAGCGCACCTTTGTCGCTGTCCGACATCGATAAGTGTCGCAGCTGGGCCAGGAGCTGCGTACTTAAGGCGCGAGAGATCGTCTTTGGGCAGATGACCTACTTCTTCATGTATGTCTGTCTTGGGTTTCACTCAGTAATCACTACTGGTACCTTCTAACGCCCGTACTGGTCCAACATACTCGGGCGCATTCCGTGATCACCTATGCATGTGAGCACCTATGCATGTGAGATATAAGCTGTGAGATGTTTCATATAGTTTATCATGCATGCATCGGGCGGGTTCCGAGCTAAAGACGAATCACCTTTCCCACCTCGGAGAAGAAAAAAAAAAAAA